GTTCAATTTGAAGGTCAGTCATGAAATTCTGGAACATTCAGAATAAACACTTTTAGGCTTTTTTATCAGTATATGAAAACGGAAAAAGAAAAAGTTGAGAATTATTTTAGAAGTTTTCAATTTTGATATATTGATGAACATTAAATCCGTTTTTGATTTTTTTTAATACAGTGGAACCATTAAATTGTGCACATGGAAAAATATATAAGAAAAATAACGATAAAAACAAACTAAAACTTCTCATTTGATTTATCTAAATTTTGAAGAGTTATAATAATTATTACCCTCATCATCATTGTAAAATTATTATTCTTCTATGATTCTTATTTTTCACAATGAACTCCATATTCTCTAAGGCTTAAGATACCACCGGTGTCTCGTCAGTACTGAACGAGTGTTGTTTAAAACAAATAATTATTTAAGATTTTTGAATTGTTAATCTATGATTAGTGACAGTTTGGTTGTCCCCAAATATACTATTTTCAATGGCGTGTGTTGCGATGTTTGATTTATATGTTATGGGGTTCATGTATGCGTTTTTGTACCTGTCGTACCTTTGGATCAGTTTTTGTTTGGTTTGGTAAATATAGAATTTGTTGCAGTTTGAGCATTGTACCCTCTGTTTGGTTTTTTTCTTCTTCTTTTTCATAGTTTATTTTTTGTATTATTTTCGTGTTCGGCTTGTTGTGGTGTTGATGGGTTTGAAGATGTTTGTTAATTTTTTGATTTGGTGACGTATGTATGTGAATGCAGTCCATCGTTGTGTTATTTTATCTGTTGGAATAGTTTGATCCTTGTATTTTTTGTTTGATTCCATTTTATTATTTGTCTATGGTATTTTGGGTGTATCCGTTCTCGTTTGCTATTTGGCATATAATTTTCCTTTCCGTGCTTCACGAGCTTCATTGCTAAGTGGTATCCTTAGCATTCTGTATATGAATGCGTTATAGGCAGAATGATGCATTCAAACCGAATTAGCTTTATGACTGTCTTGTTTTATCATAAAATCCAATTGATACTAATAGCATACAAAAACTGGGCTAGGTACCCAGCAAGCAAGGTATCAAGCAAATTTTTTATAGGGATTTAGTTCGATTTCTTTCTCAATAGGTACCTTTAGGTTGATACTAGGTCTTCTCTCTGGAGATGGGAGTAATTTTGGAAGCGATGCAAAATATCTTCTGGTTCCTAGAGGTGGTGGATGATCATTGCTGGATAGCATTATACCAATTCTCATAGAACGCCTCCTTCTACATTCACAAAATATGTATTATTAATATTTATACAATTGTAGAAATACTAAACCATGAAACAAACATGTCGGTTCACGAATGGTTCGTTTATCGTCTTATTGATCTAATTTATGTTGAGCAATACTGAGATTATCTACATTTAGCGTGTAGCATATAACTTTTTTTACACAACCGCACAAGCTAACGGCAGCTCTTCGTCAGGCGGCACAGGGTTATGGGTTCAAACTACCTTTCTTTTTTTATAGTCAATTGTCACGGATCGCCACTGGAATTTTTGGTGTTGTGAAACCTATTGAGTATTGACAGAGAGTAATGAAATGAAAGTGAAGTACCCAATAAAATTTTAATAATAACTCAAATACATGACATACAATGTGATGAGTATATACTGATCAGTTTTTAAATTGTTAGGTTTTCAACCGGCTTGATGATACTATCTTATACTGTTAATGTAATATAATGAAAATAGGAGAATGATAATTTTTCAATCAGATGATACTCATACATACCCAAAAATAGGTGAAACTGGCCTCAAATCTTCACACGAAAGTGGTAACATTCAAGTGGGTATAATGTTATTTGCTCTTCTGAATGGAAGCTCAGAGCCTGTGAAATAGGCACATGTTACTACCTATTTTATGTTTTTTATACTTGTAAGAAAAGAAGTTATTTTAAATTGTCGTCCCGACGTAGAACGTTTTTTTCAAGTTTTGTTTAGATACTTCTTGACTCCAGAGGGATTTTTCAACTACGATAGGTCTCAAAAAAAAAATAAACAGATGAAATACTGCCTGTGCCTACTAGACATATCATCCATCACCAGAAAGAGAGCAGATGAATATGAGGTCTAATCCTCTCAACAGATACTGCATGACTCGCGATTTTTCCACAATCTCACAAAAATGGCAATTTTCAAAGTTTTTTTGTTGAATAACAAAAACTAACTCGAACTTTAGAATCTTCAGCTTCAATGTGAAACTTGTAAGACTGCTGATATATTGCACCGTTCTAGGATCGATGCCCAGTCTTTCCAGTGCTCTAACTACGGAGTTATGACTTACCGTATCAAACGCCTTACGGATGTCTAAGGACACCACACAGTAGCCTTTCCTTGCGCCTCGCCTTTCTCTAATATAAGTGTCCAATATCATGGAATTGGCCAGTGTCCCGTCCACGTCCGTGAAACCGCGCTGGTTTGCGTTCAGGGACGTGGCCGTCTTCAGGCGGTTCGACAGTGCTCGGTGCATAAGCCTTTGCAATGCCGAACCTACTGTTATCGGCCTCCAATTGATGGGATCGGCCGGGCTCCCCTCCTTAAAGACCAGAGTCGTTCTCATCTTACTGAAAGCAGGCAGCTGTATATTCGTCATGTAAATTATAGTAAAGAGTATTGACAGCAGCCTGCTCGGTAACCTTCTCACCCTATCGACACTGATTCCATCCAACCCAGGGGCGGAGGTGGGCCAGTTGATTTTAGTCTTGTCGACATCTTCGACAGTTATGGGAGAGAAGGTGGACCTAATTGGTGGTTTAGGGTCAGTTATAACTTCGTCGTCAACCGGTGACTCAGATTCCAGTATTCCACCAAAGAGGGTCTCCACATCGCTTACTTTGGGGTAGACCTCAGCCTGGTCGAGCGCTTTCCCTGACAGGATGCGGTCGACCAGAGCCTTCTTGTTCTTACTGTAGAGGTCCTGTGCTTTTTTAAAGTTAGCTGCACGAGGACCACTGCCAGTGTACTTTTGGCTATATGTCTTAGCCGGTCTACCCTTTCTGCTAACAGGATGGGTTTGGCCCTGAGGACCATCCCCAGCCTGTGTGTTTTGCGACGGTGCACCTCTGGTTTTCTTAGCTCTGCCCACTGTAGAGTTAAATGTGACGCCAATCCACTCTGTTAAGAACTGTGTTAGTTTGGCGTCACTCATCATGAGACCAGCCTCGGTTAGCTGAAGATAGTTGTATTCGTCCACTTGGCCATCTAGTTCCTCCTCGAGCTCGTTTTGCAAACGCAAAAGATAGGTTTTGAGCTCGGGAGGGATGACCACGGGAGACGATACCGAATTTGTATATACTCTCGAAGAGAGTTGCATCACGTTGGAGGTGCTTTCAGCTAACCTCGGTCTGAACTCAGTTGGTACTGTATCATCAGTGAGCTTACTAGAGGCTGTCACCATTGTGGACCTCTCAATTCGGGGCCTCCTGGTCTCTTGTATCTTCGGTGGCGACGGAGTTATGACTGACCTAGGTCTCTTTCTTGATTCCGGCTCTGGTCCGCAAGGGGGGGGGGGTCCCTGCAGATCCCATGCTAGTGGTAGGAGGCAAAGTGCCAACCAATTCCATGTTTGAAGGGCCGGCAACTTGGGAAGTGTGCATCACCGGCCTCTTCGATGTTATTAATAATGGCGAAGGCGCCTGTACAGGGCTAGCTGCGACAGGAGTCTGAAACAGCAAGCCATCGCTAGCCGTAGTATCATCCAGCAATGCTGAAGCTGTTCGGGTGGCGTAAGTGGTTGTTTCCAACTCGATTTCTTCGGCACCCGATGTAACATTTCCGTCAATATGCTCCGGACCAGTTGTGACGTCCGTTAGGGAGATATGATGTAGAAGCTCTCCCTCTTTGTCATGTACCACTGCGCCAAATTCAGCCGTTGTTCTCCTGGCTTCTTCTAACGTCGTCGGGGTCAGCACTGCATCCACTTGAGCCGTTGGTGTAAATTCTGAAAATTATGGTAAAGGGTTACAAGAAAAGTGAATCCCAAATTTACCTGTGAATTCGGTAGTCATGACCGATAATGCTCCATACCATAGAATTCAAATTAATCCAGCCTTCAACACAAATTCTAGGAAGGCTGACATGGTGAGGTGGCTACAGAAAAAAATCATTATGTTCATCTCCTAACATGCTCAAACCCGAATTATACGAGTTGATTAACATGAATAAAAAGCATCATATTAGATACAAATTTAATGAGGTTCTGCTTGAACGCAGACGTAACGTTTTGCGACTTCCACCCGGATTTGAATCCCATTGAACTCATTTGGGCTACTGTCAAAAACAACGTGTCCCAAAAGATTTGTAACTTCCAAGTTGGAAGATATGAGAAAACTGGAGGAGCACGAGTTTGATCAAATCACTTCCGAGGAATGGCAAAAATATTGGCGATATGTAGTAGATATAGAGCAGATATATTGGGAAAATGAAACATTCACAGACGTTCAAACAGAGGTAAATGCAGTGATTATAAATCTAAATGACGATAGCACAAGAAGCAGTGAAGATAATTTGTATTCAGATAGTGGCTGATTAAAGTTTAGAAGTCATGTTTCATTTGTTACCCTAATTAAACTAATTATAGGTACGACACTGATTGGCAAGGGACTTATCGTAATTTAGTTGGGAGAGTCTATACCTGCGCCATCGCTCACCATCAGCCGTGTCATGTACTGTAATTTCTCTGTAAGACGTTCACTATAAAAAGCTTTACTAAAACCATAAACTGCATTTTGCTCTGCAATAGCCCCCTTTTGGGATTATTCACTTGTCCATTATTTAATGCCATTATATTTGTGTTTCCTAACCATTTAATGTTTCCTACGTGCATAAGGTTTTATAGGCGACTCTAACGATGAGCAGTCTATAGAAATTAAGAATTGAATGAACCTTCAAGAGGTTGCTCGCATATGAAAACTTCTTCTGTGGTTTACTCGAGAGGATGCACTTGGTGGGAGATAAAAACAATTTCAATAATTTTTTTCTGTAGCGGTGAATATTTTTTCACCTCGTACTATCTCTTTGAAGAAAAATTTTTAATTTTAATAGTATTCTAGGATTTTCCTAAAAATTTGAAACATATCTTTATTTACAAATATGATAAACTGTTTATTTGGTTGATACTCTTGTACGTTTATTCCAGGCAAAGTTAACACCGTAATTCTTAGGTTTGAACTTCTTCTCTAAACTACTCCTTTGAACAAACCATTTCCAACCATTTTTCTCACAAAATTCAATTGCATCTTCTGCTGTTGAAAACTCCACTTGCATATTGGATAATGGATCTCCACTAGAAAAATAAGAAACCAATCAGAACATAAGCCATAAAAAATAGTTTCTAAATGCTCACGTGGAACTCCATCCCATCAGAGGATTTTCCCATCTCTCTCTTGTATCAAAATCAATTTCCCAGTGTCCAATATTATTAGTACCACTTTGCATGCAATTCTTTGCTGGTTCATATATTCTTACTCTGCGCTCTTTGACATGTTCCTCAGGAACACCAGTTATGGTTGATAAGTTGGTCTGCAATAATGTAGTAAATTATTCCTGGTATTTACGGGTTTTCAAATCCCTGAAACCAAAATGGAGGACAAATTACTAGACTCACCCATGAATGTTACTGCATGTTACTAATTGAACATATTTTGAAAGCGTGTATTTGTTTTTATTACAGGGTACACTGGATGTTGAAAATTTTACTTGCTTTGAAATTTTCCCAGTTCAGCTCCTTTTCTCAAAAGAGAGAACCATGTTTGATAAGAACTGTTTGAACAATATAGCAGTTTCTCATTTTCATTCAAATATTACCACGGTCAGAAAATCCGAAAAAAAGCCTTCAATTTTTTTATAAGCATAAAGACTTAGTTATGCTTACTTTTTTGTTTTTTTTTAAGATATAGATAGAGGAAGAGTTATGCTTATTTTTGCATACAATACAAATTTTAGATAAAGACAGATTCAGTCATATTTTAACAACAAAGCTGCAGTCGTTTGCTGATAATTGGACATTTTTAGACCTTACCAATTGTATAAAAAAATTAAAAAAAGATGCAGGTTCAATAAAATATTGACAGTGAGAGAAAATAATAACTGGATAACTGATAAAATATTAAATATGAAAATGTATGAAAAATTTACAAAAAAGACCCAAACAATGATGAAATTAAAAATTCTTACGAAAAAAAATTGAGAAAGTAAATTTAAATATACAATTTAAATAAGCAGAGGTAGATTCTAAAAAAATTGAAATGTAATTAATGATAATATAAATGGTGGTAAACAATGTAATCAATGTATCAAAGAGATAAAATCTTCAAATGGTTTAATAGTAACCAATGAAAATAAATTCAACTCCTTTGTCAAAGATATTGGCTTAATTTTATCAAAAAATTTCAAAACCAGAATGAACAAATTTTCATCTTCTTGTGAACCCTTGTTCTTGAAGCTTATTTCAAAACAAGACTTAAAAGAAATCATTATATCTTTGAAATGAATATAGCTTCCTGGCGAAGATCAAATTAAACCTAAAAACCTGAAAGATATTGTTGATTCAATAAGTCTTCCTTTATCAATAATAATCAATAATTGTATTGAAAAAGGTTTCCTGATTACCTGAAAAAATATATTTTTAAACCAATTTACAAAGGAGGTGAAACAAAAAATGTTTCCAATTATCGCCCAATTGCTCTCTTTTTGTTTGGGAAAATATTTGAAAAAGTGTTAAAATCTCGATTGATTAGTTTTATAAATATTAATATTGATTTTATTAATATTGGTTATAACGCTCATATTCCCACTGGAATCAGATATCTCATTATAATTTGGGCATTCTGCACTAAAAAGCGAAAAAATATAATTTCTTTGTTTAATGAATAAAGTTATACAGGTGAAATTCAATAAACCATGGACACTCCACCTTTGGATTTATACAAAACTAGCGAGCCGCCCTGGCTCCGCACGGGTGCAGTGCTGATGCTGAATATACGCGTGCGATCGCTGCTGATCATAAAGTACTAAAGGGCGAAGCGCGGCCTTTGACGCGTTATTTCTAGACACGCGCCACTGGCCTTCTGGCCGGCACCGCCGTAACCGCTATGTCCCTGCATTTTGAATAAAACTACACAGGTGAAATTCAATAAACCATAGACACTCCATCTTTGGATTTATACAAAACTAGCGAGCCGCCCTGGCTCCGCACGGATGCAGTGCTGATGCTGAATATACGCGTGCGATCGCTGCTGATCATAAAGTGCTAAAGGGCGAAGCGCGGCCTTTGACGCGTTATTTCTAGGCACGCGCCACCGGCCCCAGGCCGGTACCGCCGCAACCGCTATTTCCCTGTTTTGAATAAATAATGTATTTAAGGTCCTTAATTGGACAAAGATTGATGCTGCATTGCTCAAAATCGCTTGTAGACCTTTTGCAGACGTTATACAATACTGTAGTACATTTTTTGATATATTACAACTCAAAATTCCACTTTAATACTACACGTCAAAATAATTGACAGTTGACAGTGACGTAACAATTGAAGAGAGAACAGAACATTGTTTTCAACAACTAAAAAAAAGATGAAGAGATTCAGGTCCTGGCATTTACATCACTCATGTCAGATACAACGTCACGATGTTTTACATGTTGTATATTTCCATTCCATTCTCAGCAGACATTTTATCAGAATCGTCTTGTCCTTGAGTACTATCACTATTCAAATCCGAATTATAATCTACTTCCGTAAATGTTATATCAGCAGAACCTGATGAAAATTGGATTTTGTTCTCACTATATCGGTTGATGTAGATGGAACATCAAGAAATGTTGACTCCGTACTGACCGTACTCTCAGGTTTATTTGATATCGATTCCTGTATACAGAGCTGTACACAACTTTGAGTTTGAATTAATTATTCTTTTGTTTCTCTGTGAATGTATAAGTCTCCGTTATGAATACGATTTTGGCTCTTCAACTGAAAATTTAGAACTTACGAATTGAAAGCTTTACAATAATTTACTTTTGTTTGAGAATATGATGTAGCAAGCAATATATTTTAATTTCTTCTTTTCGCGTAACTATCGATAATCCGCCCCGGAAATTGTGTATTTTTTTCTATAATCAATAAAATAGACAAACTGTTTATTTGTCAAAATAACAATAACAAATTAGATTGCTACTATTGCCACGAGTGCCACGCAGAGATACAATCAATTTCCAATTTTTTAGAAAATGATCACATTCGCATTAGGCAGCAAGCCATATGGGCGAGGTATTGATAGAGAATATTGCCACGTTTATTGGTTTTCCGTGTTATGGACCTAATAATATATTTGTAAAATATTTAAAATCGAAAGGGCGCTACGAACAACATTTTGTAAAGGGCGAGGGGGCATACTGCTCCCTTAGCCTCTGTGTGGCGCCGCCACTGAAGTTTATGACCACGCTCACACGGCATATCAAAAGAGGATTAATAACATTCGATCACCGATTGCCAACGACATAGCCTATAACCTATATGGTGGCAACACTGAATAGGGATACTGGAATCGTCCATTACGTTTTATATATTTTTTTCTGGTTTTAAATTTCTGTGATGTACTTTATTGATGCATTAGGTGTTTGTCACCACTGAAAACTAACTACAGAATACGGCACAGAATTGTTTACTATTCTGTGTCACTGCTGTCAACTGTCATTCATCAAAAGTAAGTCGTAGGAAGAGCGTATAATAGGTGTAAGATAAATTGCAATGAGCACCAAATTTGTTAAAGAATCGTAGTTTAAATTTACTTAAATACGATTGTTTCAGCTGCGTTTTAGTGTGAATTTTCTAATTTATGCATATTGGGTGCTTAGAATATTTAAAACAAAATGCCTAGACAGCACGGGAATAGACAGGACACATGGGTTCAAAAAGATGGTAAGTTTCCATCAGAGTTTCAGGGATTTCCTTCTTTCTCATTTCTCGTTTTGCATTCAGATCGTTACTCCCGTGCTGATAGAGACAGGAGAGTCACTTTCAAGCAAAATAACAGGCATGGGGGGAAGAATAAAGGTAGAGACTGGAGTGGAGCTCTACGGGAACATCTGCAAGATGAAGATATTGATATGGGATTTTCTGCTGGATCTAGCAAAACAAACCGTTACAACAATGGGGGAAGGAAAGGAAGAAAAGGTTCTCCTATGCCGACGGGCAATGTCAAAAGAAAGTTGTTAGAAGGGCCTACCAATTGGTATAGGGTTTCGGTAAGATATTTCATTTTTAGTTCCAAGTTGAGATTAAGCATGATCTTTTTTTCTGAAATCAAAGTATGAAAATATCTAAATGAGGAGGTACGAATTGTTTTTCTTGACTGCCCTTGATTTCGAAAAATTTTCAGTGAGACATAGATTCATATTTTTACCAGCTCATCATGAATAATGTGGCTGGTTCATGAACCAAAAGTTTACTTTACATTCTACTTTTACTTTAAGATGGCCATAATGTAAATGAATGGGGGATTCTATACACCACACACTCTCATTTTTTTATACTGTGACAACTTTCTTACAGTGAAAGACATCAAAAGTATGAGTTGGTGTATGTGCCAGCCATGAATTCACTTTCAGAGATGATCCACATTCAGAGATACAGTTACTCAAAAAGTAAAAACAACTACTTTACAGACTCACTTTTGGTAGTAAAATCTAGTTACATGACACCTTCTTTCTATGATCATCATGTTGAGGACCTCGGTAATTATCTATATTTCTTTCAACCTAAATTCCCTACTACATAATTGGAGTGCTACACTTCATATATATCTTCACAGTCCAGTATCTGGAGTTATGAATTTTGTATTTGAAAGGTTTTTGATGCAAGAAGAGCTTCAAACTGTAGAGTCAAAAAGTATTGATAAAACCAACTTTTCTGAATGTTCACGTACAAACCTGAGTGAAATATTAAAATGTGAGGAAGTAGTAAAATAGATAAATAAATTCGAGATGAATTAGATGCAATAGACACTCTTATTGTTCTGGAACCTACTGTGTAAAACTATCACTAATATCTTGAGAAATGTTACTCAAGCTATTTCTATATATAAGTAATCGAGTTGAAACAGAAAAGTTCCAGAAGAGACAGTTGATGAACTTTCCAAATTTTGATACAATTCCCTAAGAATGTACTATTTTGTAAGCAACTGCGGTTATTCATACGAAGACATTATTTTAAAACTATAGTGACATCTCAAAGGTGAAGCAAAGTGTTTGATTGCTGGAATATTACAAAAATAAAATGTGTGCCTTTCATCAGAGATAACAATTTGGAAAAGTTAATACTATTCTCAGCAGAAGTAGATACCATGGTATACATTATGGAAACTATAGAATCTCAGTTAATCAAAGAATTACTCATTAAACTTCCTGAATCACTGAAATTGAGTTGGAGACAAATTGTTTCATCTAAAAAGGATGACGTGAAATATAACGAGAACCAAAATTTTATTAAGGATAATTCCAGTCAAATTATATGGACCGAATAGACACTTGTCAGTTTTAGCATTATGTGATGAAGCATCCACTGTAACACTTAGACCAGGAGATAGCTGAAAAATTAGAACTTTCTCCAGGAGATAGCTGAAAAATTAGAACTTTCTGGTGTACCAGAATCACTCTTCCTTCAATGGACAAATGAAAATCATGCGATACAGCAAATGTCAATCTGACTAAGTTTGAAAGTATTGAAAATGATGATGACAAAATACTCACTTTGAATGGTTTTCGAACTATTACAAATTTGCACTTCCGGAACAAGAAATTATATTGGCTGATTGGAGGAAATATTCTCATTTGAAGGACATTCCATTTCAGGATATTCAGCTAGAAAAACCGGTCATTTCCATTGGACAGTACAAAATATTTCTGGAATTAAAAAAAAATTAACATATTAGAAGAATAATGTCTCACTCTTCATTCGAGTAGAAAGTGTCTCAATAGTGAGTGCCTAACTCTAGCCTTGAAACGGTTATAACTTAAACTAGTAAATTCTGGCTTGAGGTGTGCACCTCTTCGGGTTGGGTAATTATGAAAGATTAAGTGCCAAGCAGTTATTTCTACACCAGTTGACTTAATGGTTCACATCATCTTGAAGGTTCAGACAATCAAAATATGATTTAATCATACGGTATAGCTTGAGATCATCAGCGAATAACAATCCTTCTAAATCAGTAATGTTTGCAATAAGATCATCAATGAAGATATTAAAAAGTAACGGTCCACAGTGCCTACCCTGGGGAACACCAGAACAGGCTTAAATTGTAAATGATATGTAATTATTAATTTTCACTCACTGAATTTTACCTGTAAGGAAGGTGCCAATCCAATCCAAAACACTACCCCCAAAACCAAAGGATTCTAATATTCGAAGCGAATACAACACGATCAACTCTATTAAACGCCTTTGAAGAATCTGTATAAATTGAGTGAACATGGTATCGTTTCTCAAACGCACCCAATCTGTCCTGATAGGTTCGCAAATTTGTGACTGTAGACTTGCCTCTGGAGAAACCATGCTGCTGGTCGGTTACAGTACTGAGACAGTGCCAAGAAAGCTGTTTGTTACGAGATAAACAAATATTTTAGGAATAACAGATGGTAAACTGATGCTCCTATAATTCTTAACATTGCTCCTACCACCTGATTTTTGGATAGGTCTGATAAAGCTGCTTTTCCAGAACATGGGAAATTTACCATTTCTGAGAGGTGAATTGAATAATAAAAAAAGTGGAAAGTTTAGGGTACACACACATTGTTTCAATAACAGTGAAGGCACACCATCCGGTCCAAAGCCGAAACCAGTCCGTAGTGCACTCACCTCACTAAAAATGCCCGTCTATGTAATTTGGCAGCCAGCGAAATTGAGTGTACCGCGACCTTGTTGCTCAGGTAATACAAATTCTGCCTCAGCATTAGCATATACCGATGAGAAATGATCAGCAAATAGATTAACAGTTTCAAAACCATCTACACCAGTTTCATCATTATAAAACATAGTACCCATTTTAATACTCATTTAAATAACTTGTGAGCCTTTTTTTTTTTCAAAAATGCAACGTCTTAGCTCAGAATAAAACAAAATGCATGTTAATAGGTAGCAGATATCGTTTAAGACAACTGCAAGATGAACAGCTGTCATTGAATCTTTATAGTGATATTCATCATTGAAAGGGAAACAACTTTCAAATATCTGGGGGTGGTATTAGATCAAGAATTGAACCTTAATGCGCACTACAGTTATATTCAGAAAAAAATAGCCACGAAAATTCATCTTTTATATAGATTGAAAAATAAAATAAGTGAATATGCAAAATTAACAATTTATAAATCAATAATAGCACCCCACTTTGACTATTGCAGTACATTACTCTATTTTGTGAACCATTGCTGAGTATAAGACATCATAAAATTGTTCCAACACTAAGTTAACAGATGTTCTATAAAGGTAATTTTCCCAGACAACAGATGCAAAATAGTTATTTACAGCAAAAGAGTCAGCTTTATAAAAATAAAAAACCCTTTCTTCATATTTCATATCAGACTTTAAATTGATAACAGGTAACTCAAAAAAATAAGTAGTATGGTGAATACTGTTGTGATGGAGTAGATTAGAAGCAGAGGATACACTTAATAGAGTCATTACAGCTAAAAGAAAAATCAAGCATTATACCAAGACTATTTGGTATTTCATAACCTTGAAACAGATTCAAATAACAAAAACTTTCATAAAGTGTCGCTGCTTTAGAATTTTCTGGGCAACTAATGACCACTCCTGAATTCTCATTTGTCCAAGATGCTTCGGGTAAGTTATAGTCAATGGTATAACGAAGAGTATTACGAATATAACAGTCTTTCTGACGATAATTTAATGTCTGATATAATCTATCAATGATCACAGCGATCTCACAGAGCATACAGGTATGAATCTAGTAGGGTTTTAAACAGTTCAATAGAGACCGATTTCATGCAGACGGATGGGAGGCCCTTCCAGATATTTGTGAAGAAACAATTCCTCGCATTCGTTTCTGTCTGTTCCTTCGTCACTTTTCTGTTATGGCTCCTCAGTCTACGGTTTTCAACAACTTTCGGGATTTCAGGATTCGATTAATTTTCCTGACAAAAAGTGGGTATTTTTTGTCACGAAATTTTGATACGAAATAACAGGTGGGAAATATTTTTTTAGTCTCAATGTTCAATTTGTAGATTTTTCCATTCAACGAAGTATTGGTTTCTCAGTAAGTCTGTTTGAATCTGTTTAAAATCTGTTTTTCCGTTAATCAGCTGTCGCTCCTATACGAACGATAACTCTCAGAAGTTGAGAAACTTGTGCGAGCTAAAGACTAACGAGGTCTTACCTTTTAACGTGTGATTTCTAACACTGTAGTCTATGTCCACTTTTGAGCTCTCCCTTTTTGAGTTTGTAAGGGTGACTCCTTTGTATCTAGTTTTCTATTTGATTCAATTAGTTTTTTAACAAATTATAAACAATTGTAGTAAGGTATATTTCTATTCACCGTATAATTTGACTTATTATTTTTTTCTTATTAGTCAGTGGGCTATGCTTGAAGACTGGCAGTAAACAAATGTAAAGAAATGAACTTTAAACGTTCAAGCCACTCTCAGATATACCTACACAGTAGGTTGAATGGACTGACGCCTATCAGAAAACAACTACTCCCCTGGCTTGAACGTTTAAAGTTCATTTCTTTAGATTTGTTTACTGCCAGTTTTCAAGCATAACCCACTGACTAATAAGAAAGTATTTCTTCCTTATCCAGAGGAATCGGTCAAATTAGAGATATGCAGTTGGTTAGTACCTCGTCCACTAGATGGTGTAACATTTTGTTGTTCGCTTCAACTTAGGAAGAGGAATTAAATACTCTGAAAGAATTCCGATTTTCAATTATGGAATATCATTGACTTTGGGCCGATCTATCTTGCACTGATGAGTGGCTAATGAGCCCGAAACCGGTCTGAAAGTGTATCCATTCCAAAATTGAAGGTCGACTCTTTTAGTTGTATTGCCAATTGCATATGCAGGAAATTTTCTGTGAAGAAAAATCAAAAATTAAACTTTTTTTGTAATTATGGCATCAAATTGTGATTTTCATTTATAAAATTCCATTTACTTTCAGCTACCACATGGAGATAAATATGAAAAGAATTTTCTCCTCAAGCTCTTTGTGGATAAACTAGCTCCTTTGCCTTTCTGGCCAATTGCGGTAAGTGTATAATATGATATTTATTTTAGAATTTAATGAGAAATATAAATATAAATCGTGTCAATTTCTAATAATACCAAGTTCTCTTGCATTTTAGTGGCAAGTCTATGGAAGTACTGTAATGTTTTACGTGGATGACTTCAAAGTTGCAGAGAAACTCTTCAATCTCAGCCGTACAGTTCAAATGCCAAACGGATTCAATCTCATTATTAGAGTCCATCCTGGTTGTCCTAATGTGGATATGACTCCGTCTGTAAAAGAAAAAATGAAGTTGGTTATGGCAAAGCGATACAATGATGTAACAAAAGCACTGGATTTGAAACACCGGTTATTCATATTCTCAATCACCAGAAAAAAATTGAAAATCTCATGATATTTAAAAAGTGATGGTAATAGGGTTGACTTTTTAGGTATTTCTCTGGATGAATTCCTGAATTGGAATAGTCATTGCCAATATCTTATATCTAAATTCGATTCCCTGAAGTTTCTTCTTATTAACTTAGCCTTAGCCTTAGGTATTGACTAGAGCTCAGTTATTTAGTATCTACTTTGCTCACGTAGATACCAGTATTAGATACGGTGTTTGTTTCTGGGGAGGGTCAATTTCAGCACAAAATGTATTCGTTGCACATATGTGTCTGATGCACGGCAAATATTTCCCAAAGACAGATAGTATTTTTAAGAATATAATATTTCAATTCTAGAATCAGTCTATATATTTGAAATGTGTATAAATGTGTTTTGAAATAAATCAAATTTTACATTAAATAATAGTATTCTTCACCATGATACGAGAATCAAAAACCAGTTCCATGTGACAATTCGAAAATAAAAGTGACTTATCATAATACATTGGTCCGAAAATTTACAGTAATCTTCTTGAATATGTGACGGCTAGCATATCTGTTAGAAAATTGTTATTTTACACCAGCAGAATTTTTTAATAATCATCAGGTCTGTTTTTCTTTTACTATCGCCTCACTTACTTGTGATGCACTGTTTGGACCTTTGGCGTAATGATGAATATTACTGGAGTTTTATCCCAACACCAAACCGTAATTTTTAACACCTCGACATGTGTTTCAATCACCAAGTGACGTTGGTATAAAACTCCAGTAATATTCATCGCCTCATTTAGTTTTTATATTCAACTTTTAATATCTTCATTTTATTGTGTTGACATTATCTTGTACAACTTCATATTGTCTTTATGAAAATAAAGTATTATTATTAGGTTGTCAGTTAGGTTTCAGAAAAAAACATTCGTGTGAGGCTGCCTTACAGTTCACAATAACAAATTGGAAAGAAAAAATTGATAAAGATAATTACGTTGTTTGTACATTCTTGGATTTAAAGAGGGCATTCGAAACAATAGACAGAGATATATTAATCCAAAAGCTCAAATATTATGGTATTGGTGATGTAGTTTTGAAGTGGATGAAAAGTTACCTCAGTTCGCGGAGTCAAATAACAAAAATTAATAGTTGCTACTCACAAGAGTTAGTGAATTATTTTGGAGTTCCACAAGGTAGTGTATTAGGACCTTTACTATTTCTGATTTATATAAACGATATCAATTACGTTTATGGTGATCATGTGATTAACTTATTTGCAGATGATACATTAATATATACCTACGATAAAACCTTGCAAGTCGCTATTGAAAAGATGAATAATTCATTGAAAAATATTGAGTTGTACCTTGGAATAAATAAACTGAAACTTAATATCACTAAAACTAAGGCGATGGTCATTACAACAAAGTATAAACAAAATAAAATTGGGAGAAACACAGTCAAAATCAAAATTAACGAAACTGATGTAGAAATAGTGAGTGAAATTAAGTGTCTAGGGTTCATTGTAGATGATACAATTTCATTGAATGATCATGCTGACTATATAATAAGCAAAATATCAAGGAAACTGTATTTTTTTTCTAGAGTAGCATCTGTATTATCAATGTATGCCAAAATAATGTGCTATAATTGCATAATAAAACCTCATTACGATTTTTGCAGGACTCTCTTTTATCTCTTGAATCAGATCAAATTAAATCAATTACAAAAATTACAAAATCGTGGAATGCGAAAAATATTACTCTGCAATAGAATGGCACCTATACTTGATATGCTCTGTAGTTTAAGGTGGCTTAATGTCTCTCAACGATTGTATTATCAAACTATGACATTTATATTTAAAATAATAAATAAATTGCAACCAACATACTTAGTAAACCTTTTAATCACAAATAGTGAAGTACATCATGATACTAGATCGAACACCAATTTTTACATCCCATACGTAGCAGTATGAACTCGTTATTTTTGAAAGGTCTGGACAGTTTCAATCAACTACCAAATAACATAAAAAACTCTTCTTCTCTCCGTCTATTCAAGAGGGACTTGGTAACATTCATAACGAAAAACTGAATTAAAGCTAATTTATATTTAAAATATAATAATAACTAAGACTATGTTTTGAAGGAAAATATAAGTAAATATGTAAACTTGAATCCTATATAAAATATGTGCGATATAGTTTTTTTTCTTTTTTTGGGATTTTCTGTTATTTGGTTATAATAGACTAATTTATTTTGATTTTTATGTATTATATTTAGATAAAGTACATTAATTATGTTTATATTAGACTTGCCTATCTGGAAATAAAGTTCTTTTTCTTCTTATTATTATTAAAAAAAAGGGTTATTTGCTTTTATTCTGAACTCTAATTCACCTAATACTTATTACTCTGTTTAGAAATCTCTGCATTTCTTAAAAATGTATTTTATTTAATATTCAATCTGTACATGTATACTTAATATTTTTACTTAAACATTTTATATCTGTATCATGACTACTCTGGTAGAATACTGCATTTCAATACATGTGTAGAACTTTCAAAGATAAAGACATTTCTATTCTCTTCTTGGTCAGGAAGGTTAGGTTAGGTTAGGTCTAAAGTGAGTGGGTCTATTCGACCCTCCGCCGCAATCCGCAGGGGTTTATTGTGGCTCACACCTATTCACATTCGACCAAATCCAAATTCAAATTTTTATTTGGTTCACAACAAAGCTACAGCTTTAGAACATGTCACAAAATACGATAATATTAACATATGCTCAAAAAGTAAAATATAAAATCTTCAGAAGATACTTAACTGTGCAATAAAAATAATAATACAGTACATACATAAAATTGTGCAAGGCATCTTTGCTCTATGGTCCAGGGAATGAATGGAAAATGTCATTAATACCATATAGGGGTTTTTCCGTATGTAATGTCTTTAAATGTTTTTTGAATTTAGTAAAGTTCAGTGATCGTACTGTGAGAGGTAGAGCATTGTAAATTTTAATATCAATAGTATCGTCCATTCTTTGTAACCGTGTTTGAGGTATAACCAAATTATATTTATTTCTAGTATTGTGACCATGTATATTGGACACAACAGAGTAACTATTAATGTTTTGTTTGACATATAGTAACTTTACAAAAATTATCAGAAAGTAAAGTGTCATTATTTATGACATTATGAACACTACTCTCAAGAATTTTATTCCATTCGATTGAGTAGGAGATATTTGGCGTTGAATGAGTCCATTTTCTGACATGAATCCCACCAAACTCCCGAACCAATTGATATAAACCCAAATAACCATATAACAACTCTTGACAGATATTAATCAAGTTAAAATACACAGGGCGTTTCATTCAACTTGTTCGATTGATAACCTATTTATTTTGTAGAAATTCACATTGAATATAGAATAATGAAAATAAACTTTTGTTTAATTTCTAATCAGTTTATTACTTCTTACGACCGGTTTCAGTTTGTTGGACCATTTTCAAGTAACTAATACAAGAAAAAGACAAGTATTTAAATATACACTGATAAGTTCAGGTACCTGCAATAAGTACCTGAAATAACAAATGTTACCTGAATGATCAATACCAATACTACAATAACTAATTATCTTCTATAATATATCACGATAACCAACTGTTAAATGGATCCTAAACTAGATGTCAAAATTCACAAATTCAAACGGGAGCGAGCTGCATAGTTCTAGTTGATGATTGAGTGTTTGCTAACAAATTCATCTCCCTTCCTTTATGGCACGTGTGAAGAATATAATGTTTTCTTCATTGTGTAGTTTGTTTCTTGTAGGTCGTAACAAATAATAAACGTAGTGAAAATTAGACAAAGGTTATTTTCTTTATTCTATATTGTTCCATTTAAAAAACACTACTTTCCATTGAAAACATTTTGAATAGAGAAGCCGCTGTCATCCACCTACACATTGTTGATATACCCTGTATAAGTGACAACTTACTTTCAAATTATTAAACATTTCGATAATGCTTTCAGGTGCGAGAAATTTCTGAGTTGGATTCTCTTCAAGGATTGCCTATTGTAGAGCTTGTGTTGGATGGAAACCCTCTTTGTGATAAATTTAGGGATCAGCCGTCGTATATAAGGTATGTTTTTGGGATTACCTGATATATAAGACTGAAGAAATATTTTCGAGACATTTTTTCAATGAGATTTGCAGAAAAGATTTGATGTAACTGACAGACATTTTTAACTTTTTGATTGAAAAGAGTAGATTCAAATTTGATGTAAATATTGCACAGAAGAAATGGATTTCATGGCTTCTACAGTATTTTAACAGAAATTTTTAATTGATCGGATCAGACATAGAAACCAACCAGATTTTTTGAATTATAATATTTGTTAATTATCCCAAATTTCTTCATGAAACACCTTTACATTTTGTGGTGTATAAAAAAAAAAGAAATTTAGTTGTGAGCTATTTTATTGAAGTGATATATTTATTGAATGAAGTTTTTGAATGATATATGGACAAATTATGCAGAATTCTATCGCGACCTATTTGGGAACATGAAAACTTATATTCTGAAAGTAATTCATCTTTTGTGTTTAGAAATTGTTTTTCTACACTCGCCAGACCAGAATATTCAAAGGTGCATTGTTTTGTGAGATGTTATGATTAAAAGCAGCTCCATCATCAACTGAGAGTAGCAGATTGCAGGTGTGAAGCATGCAAGAATTTGCTCATACAACGAGTATCATATATGTTGCTCCCCTTTACCATCTAAAACTACGCTAAACTGCACTGTATGTACCATAATGGTAAATGCAACAGTATGTACTGCTGAATAGGTGAGCTCTGCTGTGGAAAATATGACTCTCTCAAAACAATACCAAAGTTGAATTTCAATGAAGTAATTAATGTTTCAATTTCTGAATACATAGATGAGATTTTAAAATGGAAAAAAGAAACAAAAAAAACTTAAAAGAAGGGAAAACAAAAGAAAACAACTAAAAAAGAAAAAGAAAATTAAAAAAATTGTTCCTACATAGGTGGATTGATAATTACATTTTTAACAGTCATCCAGAATTGGACATTCAATTGCTTCATTTAATAACTAATCAGAGATATTTTATCTTCATACATGGGATCGAAACATTAAAATGAGTACTGAATAAACTTAACCAGAAAATAAATTAACTCATGTCTTTTTGTTTGTGTCGGGTCCGATCAATTAATATAAAATTTATAAACTGATAAATATGGAATCCCATTCTTCAAAAAAAAAAAACCTGAATCCTATACACTTTTTTTAATTGTCTGAAAGAAAATAAATTATCAAGCTGTAGCTGTACACTGAAATATGTTACAATTTTTTTCTTGAGATTTTTGACAAGAATAATTTTATTGAACCCATCTTGTTTATTTTGATTCATTATTTAGATTTATGGGAATTGTGAATTGAAGGTGGAAGCAAGATTTATTCAATGTATATATTTTTTCAATTTTCAATCTGTGCACACGATACAACAAAAGATTTTCCATTTTTTGACAAAATTGTAATTCAGTGATTATTACGTTTTGAAAATTCATATACATAGTACTTCATTAGTTTTATATAATAAAATCATTGAATCTCTTTACGGTCCAAAAATGGAAATGGTAAAGCATTATTTATCTTTTTTTGTTCAATGAAATGTATTCTCATTTATGGTGGAACTTAAATATTTCATTAAGATTGATTGAATTTCAACTTTAGTGGTAAAAATAACAATTTGAACACATTTTTAAATTGTTGTCAACAATTTTGATATTACAATTTAAACATAGATTGTGCAGGGACAGTATTTTATTTAGAATTTGTAACTATATACAGTGGAATTGTCTACTAGTCAGATTTATCTGTTGGTTACATCAAAATGAAGATGGTATCTGGAAAAAGTAGCAGGTCAACCATTCCATAGCTTTTTAGAGTCATGACTCCTAGAGTTACCATTATTGTAAATAATCAAAACTTATTGACAACTGAATGAGAATTGTTACATTTTTGTTAGTCCCCAACTCTCCTGTTTTTTTGGTACCCTTATAATAAACAGATTATAGCTATATTTTTGTTGACATATGTTGAAGAAATATCCTAAAGTTTATTAGTTAATTTTCCACAAACGATTATTTGGGAAAGGAGATTCTTTTCTATATGAACTATTATCTTATTAACACGATCGGATATCAATGAACAAATAACCGAATAACATCTCATTCTATCTACCGATTTTCACTTCCTAATTCATTATTTGTTTCTTAACACATTATTTTGCAAAACATTGTTTGAATTCAAAAAATGTTTTCAATATTCTATTTTTGCATTGAAAATATCAAACTGATAATACTTTTAATATTAATGTTTTGCACCATACATTAAATTTGCAGTTGTGGTGTAAGAGTTACCGAACTTGAATTTTTTCTGATATATTCATGTTGATCCTTCTATTTTGTTTTAAAAAAAAACAAGGTCAAAACAGGTTAACATACATAGGTACATACATTTACAACCTGTTTTGTGGAGAGCATCATCAATTTTTCCGATTTTATTTTCTCAACGATACCATTCACAAATAAGCTGCAAAATTATTACAAAACTTTTAAATTCTGGATTCATTTGATGAAAATATTAGTTTGTGTGTATTTTTAACTCTTCAACCTCATATACATAACAGAAATTGAAATTATTCATATCAAATTTTAACAGATTTTCAATAAATTGGTTATTTGTTTTTTTGAAAGGTTGAAAAAATTACAAAAGTTCTGCAAACTGCACAAAGATTGGCAAATGTTCAATCAACAATATATACAAAAATGTGACTATGATGCGATCTGTAGATAAATGATGTGTTGAAGGATAATGCCTTTTCCGAAACCCCCTGTGAGTCCTTTGAAAAACCTCAAAAATGTTTTTTGTAATAATGACAGAACAGGAAACTTTTTCAAACAAAATTTGTAGACAATATAATCTAATCAGCATATACAGTCGTTGAGCTGCAACATAGAATGCACAAAATGGAAGGTGACAAGTTTTTCAAAAATAGTGTTTTATATTTTTCAAAGGGAAACACCATAGTACATATCTTCACAGTAAATTTATCAATTTTTTCTATGACACACTGGTTCTGCTGTGCAAGATTTTCAATTTATAATATCGAGTACTTGATTTATGAATTTGGGGTTCATTAAAAAACAAAAAAAAATAAGAATTGATATTAAGTTGAAAGCGCTGTATGAACTTTTCTTTTCCCACGAGTGCCTTTACAGCCCTTACAACTGCTAAGAGTAGATTCAGTTATTGACAGATATTTCCAAAGAAAAAACTTCAGTGTGCAATCCATTGAACAATGGACTTTTTTTCTTTTGAAAACGGTCGTCTTCTTTTTTGTGCATTTTTAGTTAAAGTGCATCACGTTACATCATTTCTAACTTACCTTTTAACGTGTGATTCCTAACTGTAAATTCTTTAATTTTTGGGTTTGCCAAACTCATTGAAATTCAGAAACGAACATTGTTATATTTATGAAACATTTCTATTTTCTTTACTTACTTGCTTGCAAATTCATTGTAGGATCCCCATTTTCTTTTTTTTTTTCCTAATTATCCCAAAATTTTTTTATTCAAATTATCAGTTCTCTCCGTTTCAAAAACAGATTTGCAAGGTCAGATTAAGTATTGACTGTCCAATCAAGAGAAATTGGCACTTGTTCTTCAAAAAAATGCTAGGGCTACACAAAAATGTAACAAATGGTTCATGCCTCTCTTGAAATGGAATAAACTTGCAATTTTGTATTGAACAGTGAATTTACCATAATTTTGAACATTTGTCTTGACATAATCTATGTTCTGTGCGAGTGTTCCCAGGATGAACGCTTTATAACACGTTGGCCTCCATGGCCTGCACCCTTTTCTGTCTACAGCGAAGTTCGGAAGAGGTTCCCCAAGTGTTTGAAACTGGTAAGTTTTTTTTCTAGATGGTAAATATTTAATTTGTATGATTCTCATAATTTTGAACGATTTTATAATTTTGTTATTCAAAGAATGTAAACTTTCACAGCCAGAGATAACTGTCAAATGTATTTTCTGGGTTTATTGACAGTGTTTTTCACACCTGACATTCAGCACAAAATAAAACAAGGTGCAATAAACCTTTGATACCTGCCAATCAGGCTTACAATGGAAAACATCTCTCAGTGTTGTATCAAGATTGTGTGAAAGATAATGAAAAAATAAGTTATCAGATTGATGGCGTGAGTGTATTTATCATTGAGAAATGTACTGAATGGATCAGTGAACCAATAAAAGTCATAAATTACTGTTTTCCTTAGAGTAATTTTTCTTCTAAACTCAAAAGAGTGAAAGTTTTTACAATTATTGAAAAACTTATCCTGCATTAAATAAATATCTTACCCATGTTCTCAAAAAACCTGGAAGTAACAATTTAAAATAACTTCACTAAATTTTTTCCTCAATTCAAAGCTTTGAGCCCATAACAGTTTGTTGGATTTAGGAAAGGGGACTCCATATCAGAAACCATTTAATCCTTAACCAAATATAGCAAAAATATTTCTAGATTCAACGGCTGAATTTAACTGTGGTGATCATGAAACACTTTTAAGTAATATAGGAATGTAAGTTTCCACGGCAGGCGTCAATGTTTTGGTTGGTTTCTGGGTTTTGCCGTGGTACTCAAAGTTTCAGTTGATACGTCAAGTACTTCGACTACGTCACTGAAGATGTCTGCCGCAGTTGCAGTGGAAACCTTTGGTGGTTGTAACTAAAGAAAACCACGGCAAAACCCGGAATCCAACCAAAACACTTTTACAGAAAATGAGTTATTATGAGTTATTCGTGCTATTTATCTCATATCTTAGTAACACATTGTCAACCATTTTCAAACAAATTATATCTTAATAGTTTTACACAAATAGTCGAAAATAAAAATCGGAAAAGTCATCAGATACTAATTCAAAGAGATGTACCACACTGACCTGTTTTTATGTCGTTGCTCTTCCTGATTTACGAGGGTGGTCCAATACAGTGACATTTTTCAAACAACTGCCGCCATCTCTAGGTCAGGCCAGGTACTTCTGAGACCACCGTCGTACATTAATGATATGTTAGCAGACATAACTCATAAAAACACCACCTCAGTTTTATCTGCTGTTGATTCAACAATTGAAAGAGGACCTGTTTTTGGGCCGTTGCTCTTCCTGATCTACATTAATGATATGTTCGCAAACATATTCCATAAAAACACCACTTCAGTTCTATCTGATGATGATTCAACAATTGGTGTAAGAAATCACAATGAGGAAGATCCCGAAGTGATATGTGAAAGAGTTCTGAATCAAGCTGAACCTTGGTTCAGAAGCAATGATCTGTTCCTTAACAAGAGTAACACAGTATTCTGGAACATTAATTTACAAACAACGGTAGCAAACCCTGGCACTTTTTTCTGGAGTGTGGATAACATGTTACGACCAGCTCACTTGGAAAATTAGCAATGAGAGTTTTGAAACATGAGATGTTGGCCAAGCCACCCTAACTACCTATTACTATCTAACCATCAACTATAATTTATGCCATTCTGTAAAAGGCAGCATTAAGGAGCATTATAAAAGCTAAGTGGAATTCAAGCTGCAATACAATATTTCTAACCATAAAAATGATTACATTATATGCAGTCATTGTATACCAAAAAATATCAAAATTGAAAGCATGTTAATGAATACTTAGAGCAGTCAGATGTACATAATCATAACACCATAATCAAAAATAACCACACATAAGAACCAAACAAGACAGGTATCTACCTGTTTAATAGCTTACCATCTCATTTCTGTAACTTATGTTTTTTTGTGACCAGTCTCTCTACAGTATTGATGACTACTTTTATCAACAATTTATCACTTTAGGTATTGGTATGTTCATAAATTTATATTTCAATAGGAGTGAATTGATATAATTATTATTATTATATCTAGAACTTTATAGGCATGAAAGGTGGTGAGGTAATGAATGTACTCTTTTGTCTTCACAGTACCACATTGTTCAGGGTTTCAGAGCTCTGATTTGATTGATTTGTTACTTTTAATACAAAAAAAAAGTGTCATACATAGAAATTCGAATACAGAGGTATGTAGACAATGTCACTAACTTTTTGATTTACACTGGGTTGAGTTTACAGTTAAGAGTTGAATTGAAGTAAATCAGATATTTGAAGTATAACTAACTCTCCTAATGTGATCAAGTAGTTTGCTATACATTTTAACCAGATTATATATCAATGAATCTCGTACCAAGTTTGTTTTTGGAGTTGGCAGTTTCAACTGGTTGTCTTGATAAGTAACATTTGAATTGACTGTAGTTTCATATGTGGTCTTGTTTTGATAAATGAGGGACCCAGTTTTTATAATGAATATGGAAATGACAGGTGAATTTTCATTACTGTTATTTTATCTGACAGAGATTGATAGCTCTTTTCTACAAGATAAATACAGATTACATAAACTGCAATATCTACTTTGGTTGAGGCAAAACCAAGGTTTTTGATTACATTTTTCAATACAAACTTTCACTTGCAGATTATTCATAGTTTGAATTGAAAGGGTATATTTTCAGGAGAGATTAATTTTTGAGAAAGTTTTTGGCCTTCTACTTCTCCATCTTGATACAAAAAATGTGTAAATCTTTCAAAGAAGGGAAGGAAGCAATCAATTTCAAAAATTAACTATATACAAAGATGTGCAGATCATGCATAGAAGTAATTTTCAAACAAAAACTGAAATAAAAAGCCCCTCCGAAACAGTTATTTTCATATAAACATTGAATTACATGAAAGAAAAATACTTTCGAAACAAATACTTTTATATGGATGCTGAATTATACAAAAACACTTTTTTTTTTCGTTTGTATTCCAAACATTCGTATGGAATCAAATCAGATATCATTCACAGGATTCCTACACAATATAATTAATGAAAAAATTAAAATTTATACTTACATGGAACACTGTCATCCTCACTGCTAGACATCGGATGTTTCCCCTTAAGGTACTTGCCTTATCGGCTCTTCAGTAGGAAATACGGATAACATTGTTTGAAGGTGGTTGATAATATTTCGTGGTGCATTTTATTAGTTCTGAATTCCATTGTCTAATATAATATAAATTGATTTGAAATCCCTGAAAGAATCTGTAAAAATTAAAAAGATTGTTAGTATCCACAATCGTCTTCGGGTGATAACTAGTGCATATCATTAGTTTGGAATTCCATTGTCTAATATGATATAAATTGATTTGAAATCCCTGAAACAATCTGTAAAAAATTAAAAAGATTAACTGAAAAATAACAATTATATTAAATATTACTGGAGTTTTTTCCCAACACCAAACCGTAATTTTAACACATTTAAACTACCAATATTGAACAATAGAACTTTGGTTTTTGGATGTCATCAAGAGAATATTAAAGTTACACCAGTCTTTAGCATATCACCATACATGCCAACCTAGTGTAGTTTCTGTCTCCAGCAACTGAAGTAATCTTTATATTTCATATTAACTAGGTCAATGACGTATGCCACTGTCAGATTGTCACTGCAGAAGCATACAGGGTCCCTCGTTATGTTTATCATTGAATGCAGTTGTTAGGCTAAATGGCATCGGTCCAATCTCACTTATTCGTTTTTTGTTATTTAGACTGTCGTCAGTTTCTTGAAACAGTTTGTTTCACACCTAAAAAATATAGGAAAAGCATTACATTTGATTATCTAATTATGGAACTTGATATACCTATATATTTGCAATTCATATTCCTTCAATGTTCATTGTTTTGTATAGTTCAAAACATATTTGATCAGTTTTCTTTATTGATGAAATTCCAATAGAAGCTGCCATATTACAAAGTAAATTAAACACAAAATTTCTCGGTGTATTCATTGATAATATGCTGAAATTTGATGAACACCTTAAACAACTCAAGAGTAAGATCTCCTACGAATGTTACGCAGTTAGAGTGGTTTCAAATGAGTTGGGTTTCCATATTACAAAGTTACCATGCACTTATTGAATCTCGATTACATTATGGAATACCTTTTTGGGGAGCATGCAACTCATCCCGTTTCTCTTCTGTATTGATAATACAGACGAGGGCACTAAGATGTCTCTGTAAAGTAAAACCTAGAGAATCATGCAGGAACTTGTTTTAACAGTCATCGCACTTTTTATCTTAGAGATGGTTTGTCTTATTTATAAACATAAATCAAAGTTCAACTTTGCTTCTACTTCTTATGCTACTTGTAATAGCAATTATACCTTTAGACTTCCCACCCCAACTTCGAATTTAATCAAGGATTCCATATACTATATTGGTGGTAAGTTGTTCAATCATTTACCATTAGAAATAAGATCTGCAAATCTAAGCAATATTCATTTAAAAAATGCGGTGAAGAACCTACTTATTGATAGACCCTATTATAGTTTGGAGTATTTTAGCGAATCCTTTTAACAATAAATTGACAATTTTTTCTTTGTACTATCACTTTATACATGGTGGTATTTTATCCATACATTTTTAGAACTTTTTTTATATTCATATTAATACATTTTTGGAACTTTGTTTATATCTACATGTATACTTTTTTAGAACTTTTTCTATATTCACATTGTACTTCTTGGACTCTGCCAATAAGGTGCAAATCTTCTGACAGTATAGTATATTTTGATTTGATTTGACTAGAAAACTGATTAGTAATAAATTTGTGTATTTTGTTGGTAAGTTATTCAACTGAACCTGCAACCTCCACTTGTTAAAATTTATTTCATATAAGTTTTTTATGTTAAAGGACGGACAAGACCTCCCTCCCCCCATCAGTTTTGACATAGTGGAGGAACACCACTTACCTGCACCTTGTCCGATGTATCTGTGCCACGAGGATGGTAATGTAATTGTGCGCCAATTCTTGCAGCAGTATTTTCAAATCTACGATTCGGACAACAGACAACCTCTGCTGCAAGCTTACCATGAACATGCCTCATTTTCGTTTACCATGGGGTATCCTTATGGGTACGGTAAAGAGAAAAATGTGCCTTGGTTGAATTGGTATCAAACGGACAACAGAAATTTACTAAGGGTGCAAGATTCTGACAGAAGGTTCAAGCTGCTGAAGCAGGGTCAGTTGGCTGTGGTTTCCTTTCTACAGGATATGCCTAATACCAAACATGATATGCACAGTTTCACTGCGGATTTGACATTATTTACGGTGAGTTGTGAAAAATTTTTTCCCTCTATTATTAAAAGATCAGTTTCTACACAAAAAAATAAAAAAGGCTTTACTTTCCTATCATTTATTTATAATACTGAAAACTGGAGTTCTTATAATTATAATCTCTAACATGCCTTTTCAAATCATAAGTTATTATTTACAATTCTTATAAATACCTCTTCAGAAACTGCTATAAGTCCAGATGCTTTTTATTCCTAAAGTGAATAATTTAATTAACACAAACAAATTTTGACCCATATTAGGTGGGCTGAAAAGTTTGTAGGCTAACACACAGATGCACTAATAGTGATTTTCAGTTAAACACAACCTTCAAAAGATATGTGTACAAGTTTCAAAGCCGTTGGATTATTAGTTTGTGGGATAGAACATTTTGAGTGAAGAAACTTTTGTTAGTTTGAAGAAAATGGATAAGTAGGTATTTTGTGTGTTAATAAAGCATTGCTTTTTGGCGAAAATAAATTCTGTTGAAACCAAAACTTGGCTCGATAAACATTATTCGGACTTTGCACCAGGATAATCAACCATCGGGAAGTGGTTTGCTAAGTTATAACGAGGTGAAATGAGCACTGAGGACGATACACGCAGTGGACGCCCCAAAGAGGTTGTTACCGACGAAAACGTCAAAAAAGTCTACGAAATAATTTTGGTTGACCTCAAAGTGAAGTTGATCGAGATAGCTGAGGCTCTATAGTTATCAAACAATAACATGTTGGACGTATCACGCATGAATGTTTGGGTATGTAAAAGCTCTGTTCAAAGTGGGTACCATGAGAGCTCACTTTCGACCAAAAACAGCAACGAATCGATGATTCTGAGCAGTGTTTAAAGCTTTTCCACCATAAAAAAAAAACTGAATTTATATGTCGTTCCACACCAGAATCAAAACGATTGTCATCTGTGTGGACTGCACATGGTGAACCGACTCCAAGGCGTGTAAAGACTCAACAGTCAGCTGGTAAGGTTATGGTATCAGTATTTTGGGATGCGCATGGTATAATATTCATACACTATCTTGTAAACGAAACCATCAACAGCGACTATAAATAGCGTTATTGGAGCGTTTAAAGGCCTAAATCGCGAGTAAACGGTACCATTTGGAGAAAAAGGAAGTGCTGTTTCATCAAAACAATGCACCGAGTCACAAATCTATGAAAACGATAGCAAAATTGCATGAATTGGGCCTAGAATTGCATCTGATGTAATGTGAACTGTCCTGGAATATCTTCAGATCATCTTCAAACATCAGAAATGAACAATGGGCATAAACAGTGGTCATATGATTGATAAATAGATTTAATAGCAGAGGGCCCATGTGAGATCCCTGAAGCACTCCTCATGGTACTTTATCTGCCTTGATATAGAGTTACTATATTTAACACTGAACTCTCTTACTATCCAATGTATAATATTTTCTTCTATACCTAATACTTTGAGATTACCAATAAGTAAGTTATGATTGATACTCCCAAAAGAATTCGGTGACCCACAACTTTTTTCTAAAGAACTGTTAATACGATTTTCATAAAGTATTTATGGCCTCTTTAAAGATGTGATGAAAACGTACCTTCTTCATCCCTTAAGACGCCAACTTGGCTGGAGAAAGGCGCGTCGACTATAGTATTGCAGTTCTGATATTTGGAAAAAGTGCGTGTTTTGTATGTAAAATTGAAATTTTTTTGATCTCTAGGGTCATTGCTTTTCGAGTTTGAAAGTCGTGGATTTTTGGAATTTCTTCCTGACGTTTCCCTGGCGCGAGTGGCTAGCTTCTTCAGAGGTTTAACCATCATGGCTTGCTGTCCGATGGCTACCTTTTATGCTTCGTAAAGCGTATTTATGCCTTGTCAGGTAATCCGTTGTATTTGTACCTGCATTTGTACCTATAATCGTACCTGCACTTGAACCTGGAACATTAACAATCTTGCTGCCTGTTGTCCTGTTCGTTAATCTCGAATTCCTTAAAATGAGGGTTCCATATTTGACTGGGGTTCACCGCTTCTTCTTTTCTGTTAAAATTATCCGTGTGTTTGTAGATCTCTATTGCCTCCTAGAATAGGCAACAGGCAGCAAGATTGTTAATGTTCCAGGTTCAAGTGCAGGTACGAATGCAGGTACAAATACAGGTACAAATGCAGGTACAAATACAACGAATTACCTGACACAGCATAAATACGCTTTACGAAGCCTAAAATATAGTCATCGGACAACAAGCCATGATGGTTAAACCACTGAAGAATCTAGCCACTCGCGCCAGCGAAACGTCAGGAAGAAATTCCAAAAATTCACGGCTTTTAAACTCGAAAAGCAATGACACTGAAAACCTCAGCCGTGAAAGTCTAAACCATTTTGTTTGATCTTCTCACAACTAGCCTACCAATTTGGAAATTGATATTTCTCTGTCTCAGGGTCAAAGCTATATACGATTATTTATATATGGTATATGAATATTAGTTTCAAAATCATGGTATGAGAATATTTAGAGAACTATTTATTTTAATGAAATGAATAAAAACACTTTTACCTAATTACCACTAGTAAATTTCATTATCCATTATATAATAATAGAATTTATTCATCAATCAAAGGTTATACAAGGCATTATACATACACATACATAACACTTATCAGACTAGTCAAGAAAGAAAAGAAGGTAATCTACAAATAAGTTGTTAATCGGAAACAATCCAGATAAATTGTACATACAATAGTCAGTCTTACAATTATGAGATATCACGAATTATAAAAGTCTTCAACATTATAAAATACTCCATTATCAAGTATAAAACTTTACTAGTGGTAATTATTCACTTCATTAAAGTGATCATGAATTACCACAAAATAAACAAGTCATCAATCACACATATCAATCACACAGCAGCCACATCAATCACACTGTAATGTATGTGGCTGCTACGCCACTGATATAGGGCCAAGGGCGCATGCCCGGAGAACAATCTCCAGAGTAGGAAACGCTGGGGGCAGTCAGTATCAATCGGCTGCTGTGATTGTATCTGTGAAATGTAAAATGTAAACTTGGTCGTACTCCATGTATATATATGTGTGTGAATATCTCTGGACATTCTCGATATCAATAAACCTGTATCCATCCGAAATATCAACAGCCTTATTTCCACCACCACCTACATAACAAGAACTATTCATGTTTTTTCAGTATTATTTATCTTAATGTTTCACTAACCAAGTCAGCATCATCAGATTACTAGTTTTGATTCACCTCTGGATTATTATCTTACTCTGATTCTAGGTTATATTGTATATGGTACTTACCAACAGGGTCAAACAGGAAAAGGTTTTTCAATATTGTAATTTTTTTATACCAGATCCAAATCGGTCTGTAAAATGATAGTTCACGTATATCTATTTAAAACATTTTTTTATTGCCTTTTGTAGTTTTTTTTATATAAACAAATCCTATATTGTCAGTTCTAACATTTTAATGTATTTTTTCAGCCTTTGATGTTATGCCTGACAGTGACTGGGATGTTCAAAGAACTGAAAGGTTCCCAGAAAAATCCTCCTCTTCGATATTTCTTCAGAACTCTCGTCATTGTTCCGGCTGGTACAGGATTTTGTATATCAAATGAAGTACTCTACGTTACAAACGCAACACCTGATCAAAGTGTGGTAAGTTTGAAGTATTATTTTTTATTCAAGTTTCATTGAATTTAATGATGCATGTGAAAGAACCCATTAGAATTTCTCAATACTCTTCTAATATAAATGAGTACGTTTGTACAAACTTAAATGGAACCGAAATTTTCGCACAAGATATTCCAGATGGTTTGATCATAGGGTAGTTTATTTTCTCTCAAAGGGCTTGCAAAGAAACGTGACGGAAGGGACAAAAAGTTTAGTATTGTTTCAAAATCAATTAGTATAGTTTTTTATTTCTGGCTTTCTAATAGAAACTAGAAAATCTGATAAAAAACATGAATCGAAGGTATAAGAATTTCTGCTAAAAATATAAATAAAAAGTATCTTGGTAATGATGTTTTCATACAATACCTCAATAAAAAAAATATAGAGGCCATTTCTAATCCCACCGGTGTCACCAAGTGTTACGGGTCAGTAACACTTGGTGACACACTTGTCAAGTTCCTTCAAAAATAAGTTCCGATATGAAAAATGGGATAATATTTTCAGCAACCTTCTGAAATTAATTAAAATTAACATACGAGGTCCGGCTATTAAATAACGAGACTGCGTGCCTAGAGGGCGCCCTAAAGGGTAAAGAAAGAACGAGTAGTGAGTTGGGTATCTGGAAATCTTCTCTATTCACGTACCAAAACACGTTTTCTTCACTATTATAGTATTTGTGCAGTAGCGGTTTGAAACGAATATGTTTTTTTTCTCGTGCTGAAAACCGTTTGTGACATAAAACAGGAGCAACGTATCAATCTCAAATTTTTCGTTAATCTGAAAAAAACTCCCACTGAGTGCTATAAATTGTTGCAAGAGGCCTATGGGGACAATTCTCTATCTCGTGTGCGTGTTGTTGAGTGGTGTATGTGCTTCAGTGAGGGCCGAGAGAGCAGTGAAGATGACCAGCGCCCAGGTCGATCGAGTATCCGGATGATTGCCGAAGCTGTAAAAGCCACTAAAGAAACGGATAGAAAAATTTTACACGAGGAATTACACATAACAAAAGTATGTGTGAAGTTGGTGCCAAAAAACCTGACTCCTGACCAAAAGCTCTTGTGTCAACAGGTCTGCTCAGATTTCTTTGAAAGGTTAGAAGAAAATCCTAGACTGATGAAAAACATTATTACTTGCGACGAAACGTGGATTTTNGGATTACTTGAATATTACACAAATGCAAAATTATCATTTGTACAATTTTCTTAGGTGCCCAACATGGTTTTCATCGACTGTATTTTTTTGAGCAGTTTATATGAATATTTGTTATGTTGAGCAGTGTTTAAACGCTTTGATTGCATGCCTGTCTTAAACTTGTCGTTTGCGCAGACCTAAGACATCGACGCGTGGGTCTGCGCGTAGGAAAATTCAAACCACAAATCAGCCTTTATGAAATTACTGTATACAAAATACTGTGGTCAGACTGTCAACCAGACTTATTATTTGTCAGTTTTGGCAACACTGCGAGAACGAGTTGGTAACAATCGGTCCGCGTTGTGGAAGAACAACTCGTGGATTTTGTACCAGGACAACACAGCAGCTCATAATGCGCTATCTGTAAAGCAGTATTTAGCCAATAAACACATTCCAGATCTTGAAAACTCGCCCTACTCGCTAGATTTGGCACCGTGCGGCTTTTCTTGATTTTTTTTTGTATACTTTACAAAACAACATTTTTGGTGAGGTGACTTTCAATATTTTGTTTCTCTATGCATCTATTAGTGTTTCTGCGAACGGGAAATCTGTTGAGTTTTCTATTTCTTGAGTGGTCAAATTATGAACAAATTTCGTATTGAATATTCCTTGAAAAGCATTTTTAGGGGAACAGTTATTTCTGTAGATTTCTTACTGAATACTTGATGAAAATTTGTAACATATTCAAGTAATACTTGTAAGTTTTTTCTGAACAGTTTACAAAAATGCAATATATGTTTTGCTATAAAATAGTTTCCTCAAGCATGTTCATATTCAATACACAGCAAAAGCAACCCCTCAGGTGCCGTAGGAGTATAATTTAGAAAAAAAAAACATTTTACTATACAATACCTTCTGCAGGCATGTGTAATAACCTTATAATTTTAAAGGACATTATGGGAAATTCGAGGAAATTCCTAACCATTAATGATATATCTTGTAATTTTTTTATTTCAACTTCATTCACTCTCAAGACCGAATTACTTGTATTCGAAAATGAAAGCGTTTTTGAAGTCAGAAAAATTTCAATCACAATTTTCATCAATGTTTTCAGAAAGCATCGAGGAACATTAACTAACTCCTGCACAAAAAATGTCTTTCAAAGCCAACCTCAATGTTTCTCGACTATATTCAAGGACGAGAACAGATAGTTGCATTTGGAATTTTTGAGAAATATTTTCTGGACCACCTCATTTTGAAACATCAGTTCACCAAAATATTTTTAGTACTTAATTATTTAATTGCTGGTACTTCATGTTTTTTGTTTACATTTGTCAAAAACGAAATATCAGCGTTATGTTTGTTAGTAACAGGTCATTATATTTAGAAGTATTCTTTGTATATATAAGTAAGTGCACTGTATGAATGATTATAGCTATTTTTTAGAAGAGCGTGTTTTATTTGAATGGGATATGTAGAATGTCTTTAGGTTGTGAGTTTTGTACACATTTATTTTTTTAATAAAACTTTACAATAAACTTCTGTGAATTTATTTACAAAAAGAGTTACAGTCCTTAGAAGAAACACCAATTTTTTATTTAATGCAGTAGTACTCTGTTTTCTGCAACTGGGCAACGTTCTCTTGAACAAAGCAAAATGTTGACTTAAAATTCACATGAGACACATTCATTACATTTATTGTACCTATTGAAGATAGCATATTCACGAAAGCATTTTTGTACTAATAACCCTAAAAATGTAAGAAACATAAAAATATTGCACAGATTTTGTTTATATCCAGTTACATTTTTTTTTTCAAAACAGTTGACAATATTGAAAGATGTTACAATGCACTACCCTTTAACGTAAAAGTGTGTGTACGAACACTTCCATTAATTTACATTGTGACAGTTTGTTAGTTGTATTGCACTGAAGTTATCATTTATAATGTGAATGAACCTCAGGGAAACCTCCACACTGTAAGATCAGCACAAGAAAGAAAAACCATAAATAATATACTGCAGGACTTCAACGTCAGATTGGAAAAACCAACAATTAACAAAAATCGACCCATCATGGTCATTTTCAAATCACAAGATGATGCCAGACATACATTGAAGAATGAACAATTAATAAAAATACCCAGTGTGAAAATATTTAATGAGCAAACTCGAAAACAAAGGGAGTATTTCCATAAAGTGAAATCTAAATTAGATGAAATGATTGCAGCAGGGGATAACAATAGTACCATCAAATATATGAATGGAAAGCCCACAATTGTGAGAAACAAAAATTTTAATCGTGTAAGAAAAAACCAGTAAATAACCCTGATATACAGTTGAACAGTGATATCATATACCTCAATGCACAAAGCCTACTGAAACTTAAAGATGAAATTCAAGAAAGTATTGTTTGTTGTGATCCAAAAGTAATTTTATTAGGTGAAACCAGAACACCTGAAGATATTGAAGATGTGGAACTTATAATGGACAATTATACTTGCATCCGTTGTGATTCAAAAAATAGACATAGGTACTGGTGGCGTTGTCATGTATATAAATAAAAAATTCGAATTTTCTATTTTTTAGAAGTTCATACTGGAATCGAACTACTGGTGTAAATTGTTAGAATTAACTTCAAATCTTCAATATGGTTGATCGGATGTTTATATCATTCACCTTCTAGTTCTCATGCAACTTTTTTAGAAGATTTCGAGGATGTTTGCGAGAAGCTTGTGTCATCTAACAATCGTTTTATTCT